CAACACCAGCAACACCAGCAACACCAGCAAGGCTTTGTCGCTGCAGACGCCTTCCAGCACTCGGTCGCACGCAGCTTCTCGCCTGCAGTGCAAGACCCCTCGACTTCGACGCACGACGCTGCTGTTTTCCGCGTGCCGGCACTCGCCCGCTCGGCTTCCGTCGACTACAGCTATTCATATCAGCAGCAGCTACCTCCTCATATTCACGCACAACAACAGCACCCACAGCAACAGCAACAGCAGCACGCGCCGCCACCGCACTCGGTACCCTACCATCCGCACATCTACGCCTCAACCTCGTACGCCTCGCTCACCGGCTCCACGCCCGCGCCCGCTCCGTTTGGTCAGGACCTCACCGCGCTCCCCTACACCCACTCGCCCGACCTCGCCATGCTGCCCAACAACAACGGCATGAACATGATGCGATACGGCTCATTTGGGCTGCCCGTCGACGACATGACGCGCGCCGGCTCGTCGAGCGGCGGCACGCCGGGACCCATGACGCAGCAGGACATCGACAACCTGCTCGCCATGTCGCGCGCCCAGGCGGGCAACCACGGCGACGCCAGCGCCTTCCCCTGCACGTACTGCGACAAGGTCTACACGGGCAAGCACGCGCGCAGCATCTGGCGACGCCATCTGCAGGACAAGCACAACATCCCACTCAGCGCACAGCCGCGCCGCACGCGCTGGGACGGCGACGCCAACCGCCCCAAGAACGCAGAGGAGCGCCGCGCGCGCATGCTCGAGAGCAAGCGCAGGTGGGCGCGCAAGAAGCGCCTCCAGGAGAAGCAGGCCGCTCAGGGCGGAAAGTCTGGCGCGAGCAACACGCCCAATCCGGACGACTCGGATGCCGATGAAGGCGATGATGGCGATGGCGACGATGGTGTGGACGCCGACGTGTCCAACATGTCGATGAGCTTTGCCGGTAACGAGGCCGACGAGAGCTTCTCGGCGCCGCCAGACGCGCAGCTGTTTGCGAGCCACGAGCCGCTCGGTCGGCCTGCCAAGCGGCAGGCGCTGGCGCCCTCGACCGCGCACAATGTCGCCGGTCCCAGTGCGGGCGCGGCGCCGCACGCGGGCCAGCTGCTGGCGGGGCCGTTTGGCGCACACGAGCTCCCGGCGGGCAGCGGCATGTACTCGCACTCGCCGCTACGACGCACGGGTCCCAGCCTCGGCCTGCCCACGGCGCAGCATGTCCTGCCCGCCATGCCTGTTGCGGCGGGCCCCAACGACAGCCTCAGCTCCAACAGCAGCGACTACTCGCAGCCCAACTCGGCGAGCTTCTTCAACGACAGCTTCGGTGGCAGCGCGAGCAATGCGGGCAGCGACGGTGCCAGCACCTCCATCGACACGCCCGCCACCACGTGGCCTGCGCTGCCGGCGCTACCGGCGGTGGAGGGCGACAAGCTCGCGGGTGCGGCGCCGCCCAAGATGCAGAAGGGCGAGACGCGCGATGCGGCGATCCAGCTGCTGGCGCTGCGCTCGGGCACCAACTCGCCCACGGACGAGCGCGAGGTGAGTCTGCGGCGCCGCGATGACGAGGCGTGGAGCTCGACGCCCAGCCGCGCAAAGGTGTCGGAGCACGAGGCGCTTACGGCGCTGTCGGCGGGCAGGGCGGATGAGGCGGCGAGTCCGTCGCCTGTGTCGCGCACGCTGCCGCAGCGAGGCATGCCTGTGACCACGCCCGGGCCGGCGGCGAGGACAGGTGAAAATCCGTTCAGTCTGGACAAGCACAAGATCTCGCCGTATCGCAGGCTGAGCTACTCGGCTGCGCCGCGCTCGCCTGTAGCGTCGCCTACGCATCTCACTTTCGGCGCGCCCGCTGCAAAGGCTGCGGCGAGTGCAGTGGTGGGGGTCAAGTTGCCGCCGCTGGTGAGTACGCCCGTTCGCCAGCCGGCGGATGAGGAGCGTACACGGCTCGAGGCTCTGCCACCACTGCTTGGAGCAACGCCGTTTTCGGGGCTGGGATACTCGGCGCGTCGTCGCGCTGTGGGTCGGCCATCGCCCTCGCGCCACGACGACCAATTCAGCTCCCCGCAGCACCTTAACCTTACCGAGAGCCTGGGACTCGCGCCGCACTCGATCTCGCGCACCTCTTCGTTCGCCTCGGCCTATGCGGGCTCGCTCGGTCTCACGCCAAGTGTAGCGCACATGGCTGGGCTCGGTAGCACACCTTTCCACTCTGGGCTAGGAGGTCTGGCGGGTTTGGGCGGTTTCACGCCCATGTCGGCCAAGTTCTGGCCCGAGTCGGCAAGGAAATCGGCACACCGGGCGGCGTTGGGCAGGGCGAGTGCAAGGCCCAAGGAGGCCGATATCTTCGATGCAGGGTTCAAGGGCAAAGACGCTGCGCCCAGTAGCGACTCGTTTGATGAGGATGACGCCATGGGGCCGGGTGCGATCGATACCCCGTCTAAGCCCGCCGCGGCGAGGATGATGCCCAAGCAGAGGAAGAGGAAGGACGCAGAGGCCAGGTCGCCACTCAAGGCTATTAGGCTCAATTGAGCGTGGACAATCCTATACGTTTTAGGCAGTTGTGGAAGGGTGCGTGTGTGTGTGCGTGGTGTTGGCGTCGTTTGTGGGATGCGTTGGGTGCGAGGCAGGTGGCGTGTGAGTGAAGACATGCCCAGGTGAGCGCGCTGGTGGGGTGAGCCAGTCGGCCTCTGTTCAGCACTCGACCGGAGGTCGAATGCAGCTTGAGGCGCAACTCACGCAGCCTCAGTCGTGGTCGGGGCTGCCTTGCGGTCGCCCGCCTTGACTTGATATCAAATCTGGACGAACACGCATGTTTCAAGAGCAGATTGCTACTGCGATCGTGCTGGGCACTGGATAAGCGCATTTTGAGTTGCGTCGGTCTTGGTAGGGAGCGGCATGGAGATCACGACAAGAGCTTGGTGCGTGCGGGTGCGCATCGCGTTGTGCAAGTCGCAAGTCCGCCTCAGCACATCATCCCGGCACACATGGATCGGGGGGAATGCATCGATTGCCATGCGCCATGTTGAATGCCTTGTGTGTGTCTCGGAGCTGCGGCATGTCGTGATGCTCTCGTCTGGCGGCCAACGCAGTGACTCTCCATTCGCCACCACACGCATGTTTGAAACGACACCGTCATTGACAAGCTCGCTCGATGCCAATCGTCACGAACCAAGGGGGGATCGATGAGTCTCGAACCCGTTGGACGACGCATTGGTGTAACGTAGACTTAGTTCCTCGGCATGGCGCGGGGGAGGCGAGTGCCACCGAGCTTTCTTTCGGCTGCGGCTTGCAGATGATTTGCGACCATCTCGAGTTTTCCTGCCGTCACAGCACCCGTCGGCACGAGGAAGGTCTTGCTGATGACACTTCCGTTGGCCACCTCGATCGACACCCGAGTCCTACACAGCACCATCAGCCACGACCCAAACTAACGCAAAAAAGCAGGGGGCGGACTTACATGGCGGTATCGCGGTGGGTACTACGTTCTCGGCGTTGGTCTCGAACTGCCTGGCGAGCTGTAGCGGCTGCATTGCGCAGCATAGCAGCGTGGTTCGTAGCGACGAGCGTCACTTCGTCTTCGACTTGGATGCCAGCCAGACGAGGCAGGCGAGGAGCAGGTGTAGGAGTACGCATCAGAGGCGCAGGACGAGCAGCTGGCGTGGGGGCGCGCACGAGCGGAGCAGGTCGAACGTAGGGATGCACCGAGCGACTACGACTGCGTGCACGAGCAATGCGAAGCGAGGACATTGCGTGCCGAGCAACACGAGCGGGTTCGACAGCTTCAACGCTAGCCCGCGGGTTGACGATCTCGACACTGCGACGATCAGCGTCACCACGCATCGCCACATCACCGGCCGGGGGAAGGGTGTCAACAGGCTCCGGCTTCACTTCCTCCTTAACCGGCGTAAGATCAATCACACCCTAAGATCGAACATCAAAGTGTCAGTGGAGCAAGAGTGAGCGAGTATGAAGATGGAGGACTTACCGAGGCGGAGGGCGCGGCGCCAGGAGTGGCGCTGGGTTCGCGAGCAACAACGGCTCGAATGGAGGAAATGGTGAACTCGGTCATGACGAAGAAAGTACAGATGGGTGGCAGAGCTCAAGCAACCATCAACAGACCAGCCAGTACTTATACCCCTCAGCGCAGCAGACAAGCTTGGCGCAAGCCCGACCTCTACGCATTGTCACACGCGCACAGACGATCACTGGTTGCTGTCAAAGCATTGACATTCCGCACCCACTCCCGCGCTGCTAATCGATGCCCACAGCCCACACTTCGAGTCCGTAGCACTCGAACCTCTTCTCGCCCTCGCGCTGCCCCTGCCCGCGCGGCATTGCATCGCAAAGCACCTCGTTATCAAACGCCGGACAGCACGCACTGACGCCCTTCTCCAACGCGCCATCCACCCACAACCCAAACTTGCCCTCGCCACCGCCCACGCTCAGGAAGGTCGACTCGGACAGAACCATGTAGTCGTTCTTGCCCGTCCATCGAAACCTCTCCACCCCGACCTTGTTACCCGACCGCGTCGTCTTCCACAGAAAACACTCGCCCGAACCGTAGTAGTGCTGCTGGGGCCGCAGCTTCTCGTTGACAAACGCACCAAACACGTTGTCGTCGCCATCCTTGAGCGCCAGCACCAGCCCAGCGTCCGAGATGCTGCTGAGACCGCCACCGACATGCATGGTGGTGTGGGCGCGCGTGCCCATTGCTTGCTGCGTCTCACGCGACGCCCCGCGCAACCAGCCCTCGGCATCACCACTGTCCTCCCCGAACGCCCCCGATACAGAGCGTGCGGATTTGGTCGGATCCAGCCCCGAGGCGACGCGGTTGTACAGCGTCTGCAGCGAGATGCCGTGCTGGTCGAGCGAGTAGAGCAGGCTCCAGCGCTTACCGAGCTGCAGCCGTGGCGGCAGCAGCGCCTGCAGCCGCGCAGCATGCCACGCCTCCACCACTACCTCGGTCTCGTCGCGTCGGCCGGATAGCACCACGTCAATCGCGCGGCGCTCCCGATCCCCGCGCTCGTCGAGCGTCCAGTGACCCGTGTTCCACTTCTTTTCCGATCGCGCGTCGAAGCCGGGCGCGCCCGAGATCGGCGCAGTGGCTGCGTGCACAGGACCCCGCCGCAGCGTGCCGCTGCTCGAGAGCGAGTCTACCCCGAGCGAGCCCGTGCTCGGCGACGCAAATAGATCGCGTGCGCGCAGCGATGCAGCCCCGCCGTGCTTCGACGCCAAACTGGCGGCGCCCGACGAGAAGGCCGACGTGCTGGCGTGCGGCGCGAACGGCGTGCCCTGGCTGTAGTCCGAGGCGTGCGGCAGCCCGCCACCGCCGCTGCTGCCGCTGTGGCGCCGTCCCAGCTCGATGTCCGACTGGTCCGGTGCGTCCGTGGCGAACAACAGGCCGCCTCCGGGGTTCGAGTCAACCGCACCTGCATGCGCACTTTCGCCCTCGACCTCGTCTGCGGGGACGATAAAGTCGCTCGCGCTGGGCAGGTGGCTGGCGATCTCGCTCTGGATGCCGCGCAGCGTGGTCCAGGTCTTGCGCAGGCTGCCCGTCCAGCTCGAAGGCGAGGCGGGCGACATGGACGACGATGCCGCCTCCTTCTTGGGCTCGCTGCTTCCTGCGATGGGCTTCGGCTGCGCCGCCGCGCCAAAGTACGAGTCTTGTCGTGATGCGGACGGCGATGTGGGCATGGGGCTGGTGCGCGCATCGTGCATGCTCTCGAGCTGCTCTGGCTCGAGCACGAGCGGATTGGAGCGGCCCAACGCCGTCTGTGGCGCGCGCTCGAAGCGAGAGAAGAAGTCGTCATCAGCCGAGCCGGGATCTGGCGGTTGGGCTTGCTTCTGCTGCTGGAGCTTCTTCTGGTCGAGCTTCTTCTCCATTTCGCGCAGATCGATGATGGGCGGCGAAGGTGCGCGCGTCGGATTGGTCGCCACTTCGAATGCGTCAAAGAAGGCATCGTCGGCCGGATTCGACGCGCCTGGTGGTGGTTTGGGATGTGCATCCGAGGCCTGCGGCTGGGACTGCTGAGTCGGAAGCGTATGCGCGGCAAGGAAGGAGTTCCAATCGGCCCATTCGGAGGAGGCGCCGGTTCCACTGACTTTGCGTCTCGCTGGTGGTCTGGTGGTGGCTGGACCCACGGGCTTGGGTGATGATGCGGACGGAGCAGCGCTGTGAAGATGGGTCGGAAAGTGCTGCTCTATGGGGGAAAAGCTGGAGACCATGTCTGCGTCTGCCCAGTCGTCGGCATTCTCGACAATGGCGCTGTTGGCTGGTGGTCTGGACACCGAGTCGGCACGGGTGCGTGTGGGAGACGCGAATGCCACGGACGATGATGTGGCTTGGCCCTCGAGCGGGTTCGAGGACGTCGCCTCGAAGCTCGCAGGGAATGCAGACGAGGAGTCGACGAAGGAGCCAAAGCCGTCGGACTCGGTGCGTGCATGTCCCGACGACTCGGACATCGAGCCTCGGCCACGGCGGCGGAGCGAGGATTGTGGCGACAGCATGCTGGACCAGCGATGCGAGCTCGGGTGCAGCAGCTTACAAGGTGGCCATCGACGCCGAGCCTGTGCCTGTGAGAGGAACCTCGAGACGCTGACAGGATGTGGTGTTGTGAAGTGAGCTCGCTCGTCGATTTGCAGATTCAAGACGATGTCGACGCGAGCGAATGTCCAGGATGGTGTGGTGTTGAGTCTGGGTGTTGCCCGAGCAGGCTTTGTGTGGAGCTGAGCCGGGCGGGCGGCGAATCCTTCTCAAGACACACTTCCCGCCTGCGTGGCACCCTTTTGGCCTCAACGCAACGCCAATTTCGCGCTCAGCCTCTCCGCACCACCAAATGAGACCGCAGGCTCATGCACACACAGTCACCGTGCATCCGGTCTGTGCGCGCCCACTCCACCGCCTATAAACCCACCTTCCACCTTCCACCCTTGCATCGACAGCTACACAAGACCCACCGTCGGCAACTTCACACACAGCCATATGAAACCATGACGAGTGTTATTACAGGAGACCGTGGTACAGAAGGCTACAATACGGGTAAGGATATGCACACAAGAGTGCAGAAAAAGAGTGTGGATCACTGGTAGAAATGAAGGTCGAACGCCGTCTTCCACGCCACAGCTTGGTCGGGCGAGCCAGCAGCCAGATACAGGATCTCGGAGCGGTCCACCAGACGCAGATTCACGCCGCCCAGGATCTCGACCGGCCGCGTCAGCTTGAGCACCGACCGCAGCAGCACCGGCGCCTGCACGTCTCTGCCTTGCGACTGGTCCACGCACAGCACCGCCACGTCGCTGCACAGGATCAGCGCCATGCTCTGGTCCTCGGTGGTCTGCTGCAGATGGTCCGCCGACAGCACCTGCTCCGAGCCGCGGGTCGACACTGGGCCACCGTCAGCGGGACGCGCACGGCTCACCGACGCGCTCCG